ATTAGAGATGGATTTTATCTTGCTTATGAAATGGACAAAGGAGAAAGGGGTAGCTGAGGGTAAGAAGGGAGCAGAACAGAGGGAGGTGCCAGTGTAGTGGTGTGAGGCTCAGGACTGAGTGGCATAAAGGATGAGACCACTACTCAGTATCTGAAATCCGGGGAGCCGAGCTGGCCAGGCATAGTCTCAGCAAGCAAAGCAAATGGCTGGCCTTCTATCAGATTTGGGGGAATGGTTTGTTTTAGGGTTGGCCTTACCCATAGGTGCATGCTTTAGTGAGAGTCTGCCAGCAACTACCTGACTTTTGAAGCTTAAACTTGTCACTGACTGGTTGGTTTCAGAAGTGCATTTCCTGAAGAGAGTTATCATAAACAGTTTAAAAGCAGACTTGGTGTTTATTTGTTACTGTGACTGCAGGATTGCCATTGGCTGATTGACAACCAGTTCTGGTACTGGTTACCATGGCTCTAGAACTGTCCCTCTTTTCCTAGGAGACTGGGGAATTTTTTTTTTTTTTAATCTCAAAAGCCAGTTAAGATTCCCTGGTCCGGAGAGACCAAAGGACATTTCACAAATGGGGAGACATACCTAATGTTTAAATGGGAGCCCTTTGCATGGCTGTAATCAACTCTATCCTGCGTCTGCCTCCAAGTCTTCACTAAAATCAGCCACATCTATGAGTGGTCTGTACATAAGGGATTTTTTTTTCTTTAATTTTATTGCATTTTAGGTTTTGGGGTACATGTGAAGAACATGCAAGATTGTTGCATAGGCACACACGTGGCAGTGTGATCTGCTGCCTTCCTCCCCATCACCCACATCTAGCACTTCTCCCCATGCTATCTTTCCCCAACTCCCCTCCCCGCGCTGTCCATCCCCTATTTCCCCCCAACAGACCTCAGTGATTTTTTTCTCCTCATCGAAACTGAGGAAAGAGTTGGGTCAGTTTGTTGTTAGTAATCAGAGGCCTGGAGGTGGAGATGGCCATTTGGCAAATACTTGCTGATTGCCTACTCTGCATCAGGTGTTGCTGCAGGTCTTTGAGACTCAGCAGTAAACAAAACATTGTGTGAGGGTGAGAGAGGGTCAGACAATAAACAACAACATAATAAATAAATTATATGTCAGGAGGTGATATGAGAAACTAGAGAAAACTGTGCGGACCAGGCATAGTCTCAGTGAGCAAGGCAAACTGCTGATCTTACACTGGATTTTTAGATTTTGCAAATTGGTTTGCTGCAGGGATTTTTTTTTTTTTTTTTTGGCTATGGAGTCTCGTTCTGTTGCCCAGGCTGGAGTGCAATGGCACAACCTCAGTTCACTGCAACCTCCACCACCTGGGTTCAAGTGACTGTCCTCCCTCAGCCTCTGCCTCCGGACTTGGGACTACAGGACTGCCTGAGCTGGGACGACAGGTGCACACCACTACGTCCGGCTAAGTTTTGTATTTTTAGTAGAGTTGGGGTTTCACCATGTTGGCTAGGTTGGTTTCAAACTCCTGACCTCAAGTGATCCACTTGCTTTGGCCTCCCAAAGTCCTGGGATTACAGGCATGAGCCACCCCACCCGGCCTGCTTCAGCGTTTTCTTATGTTAGGATTAGATCATGCCCATTCCTAAACTAATCACTTAGAAATGGGATTACTATGTTCTACTGAGCCTAATAATCTGAGGTAGAATAGATGTGGGAGAGTAGACATCATGTCTTTGTTGAAGAACAGACCTTACTACCAAAGATCACACACTAAAAGTAATGGGTAGATAACGAAGATGTATATACAGCCTATATTAGATTGCTGGGGCTGCCATTAACAAAGTACCAAAAATTAGGTGGCATTAAAAAAAAGAAATGTGTTTTCTCATGGTTCTGGAGGCTGAAAGGCTTGGTTTCTCCTCAGGTGTCTCTCCTTGACTTGCAGATGGCCACTTTCTTGCTGTGTCCTCACATGCTCTTTTCTCTTCTTTTTTTATTTTACTTTAAGTTCTGGGATTCATATGCAGAATGTGCAGGTCTGTTACAGAGGTACACACGTGCCATGGCGGTTTGCTGTACCTATCAACCCATCATCTAGATTTTAAGCTCCTCATGCATTAGGTATTTGTCCTAAGGCTCTCCCTCCTCTCGCCCCCACCTCCCAACAGGACCCAGTGTATGATGTTCCCCTCCCTGTGTCCATGTGTTCTCATTTTTCAACTCCCACTTATGAGTGAGAACATGGAGTGTTTGGTTTTCTGTTCCTGTGTTAGTTTGCTGAGAATGATGACTTCCGCTTCATCCATGTCCCTGCAAAGGACATGAACACATTTTTTATGGCTGCATAGTATTCCATGGTGTATATGTGCCACGTTTTCTTTACCCAGTCTATCATTGATGGGCATTTCCATTGGTTCCAAGTCTTTGCTATTGTAAACAGTGCTGCAATAAATATACATGTGCATCACATGCTCTTTTCTCTGTATGTACATGTCCCTGGTGTCTCTGTGTCCAAATTTCCTCTTCTTACAAGGGCACCACTCATGTTGGATTAGAGCCCAACTCTAAATAAACACATCAGTTAACTTAATCACCTTTTGATGGCCTTATCTCCAAATATGGATTAAGGCCCACCCATATGATCTCATTTAACTTTAATAATCTATTTAAAGGCCACGTCTACAAATATGGTCACATTCTGAGGTACTGGGGTTAGAACTTCCACATATGAATTTTAGAGAAACACAATTCAGCCCATAAAATAGCCTATATATTAGAGGTTAATAAGTGCTCTAAAAATTGAGAGAACTTGAAAACTAACATATTTTAAATATTTACCTAATATTTTTGTGTTATATGTGAAAAAACATAATCATTAATGTGGCCTAAAATACCCCAAATTTTAATTATCCAAATCCAGATTAATGAGATTTCATTGTATCAACTGAAGAATGATGGTGTTCATACATTTGGAAAGAATGATGGTGTTCATAAAGGATTGCAGCCTGCAGGGTATCCTTTATGACACACTGGGAAGCATAGCCTCCTGTCGGAAGCCAGAAACAGACCATTGGAGGGCACGAAGAATAAGACAGGAAATCATGCTGAATGAGGTGGATAAGGCTCACAGTCCATAGGAGGAAGAAGAGTCATGAATATTTATGAAAGGAGAAATGTCCACAATAGCAATTGAGCTTCATTTCTGTCCATGGAACTCATGTTCAAAAAATGGCAGCTTTGGCATTGTCTGAGGGTGGAGTTTTTGGCCCTCTGACATCAAAAGGTGAAGCAGGGGACATGAAAATCCTCACTGCACAACCTCCCTAGACTGGCCAGAACCACTCTGTGGTTGGGGGTCTCTTATCAGGAAGGAATGCTAGCTGGTTGTTTTGTTGAAAGCGAAAGTGAGAGGCAGCATCAGATCATTGGATGATATCAAGGGTGGAGCAAGGCTTTCCAAAGGGCTGTTGTGTTTACCCTTAGAAAAGAAAGCCTTAATGACATTGAGGGAGGAAGGTGGCAGAATAAGTCCTGTTCGACCTCCCATCCTGTCATGGTCAGGAATTCAATTTTCAAGGTTTCTTTGGGGTCCCCTTGGCCAAGTGGGGGTCCATTCAGTCAATTGTGGGACTTAGCATTTCATTTTTATTTCTCAGTTCTCTAAGTAATCATTTAGCACAAATAATTTTCACGGTTGGGTAGATCATGATGGATTTCATATACTGCCTTCACTACTTTGATTGAGTTATTTAAAAGTAAAGTCACACTTACAGTAAGTATGAGATAATCTGTGCTCCCCAAACAAATAGCTACTAGAATTATCTGACCTAGTTTATATGCATTTCAGTTTTTTATTTTAGGCTTGCTGATCCATCAAACAGTGACTATTGAAATTCATCGTATAGCAGAATCAGCCGGAGAGCTTATTAAAGCTCAGATTTCTGGACCCCACTTCCAAAACTTCAGATTCCACAGGGCTTGGATGGGACCAAAGAATATGCACTTCAAATAAGCTTCCAGGCATCTTGTCAGGGTTCTCCAGAGAAACAGAACCAATAGAATATGTGTATATATATACACACACATACATACATACATAGAGAGAGTAAGACATTTATTTTGAAGAATTGTCTCAAGCAATTATGGTGACTGGCAAATCTAAAGCCTGCAGGTTAAGTCAAAAGGCTGTCTGCTGGCAGAATTTCCTCTTGTTGGAGTATGTCAGGGGGTTGAGGTGTCAGTCTTTTGTTCTATCCAGGCCTTTAACTAATTGGGTCATGCCCACCCACCTTAGGAAGAACAATCTTCGTTTCTCATAGTTCACTGATATAAATGTTAATCTCATCCAAAACACCTCAGAGAAACATCCAGAATAGTATTTGGTCTTATATCTGGGCATCATTGCCCAGCCAAATTGACAAATAAAATTAACCATCACACCAGATGATGCTGATGCTGTTGGACTTAGACTAAGACTAATCATTTGAGGTGCATGGATGTTGGCAAGTTCACATCATCCATTATCATTACTCCAGCCCAACGTTGTACTGAGACATGTTTCCCTAAAATGTAGACTTTTCTGTTGATCCCAAAGAACTGTTAAGATAATCTGGCTTTATCTATAGACAGCTAGTTTATACTATTGGTGTTCCTCTGTTACATTTCCATAAGAATGTTTTCTTTTTGTGAAAACTTTCATGTAGAGAACAGAAAAGGTATTCCTTGTGAAATAATATAATCTTAATCCAGCAACTTTGACCCACTCCTTTCAAAAATAGACTTTTAGAGATGCTGAGGTATATTCTCTGATATATGTAATTGATTTACTGCAATTTTTCAGTTGATTAGTTTATTAAGTGAAAAGAACTCGGTAATGAATTGTTTTGTAATGTGGATAATTGTTTTCCAATTTGTCTCTATACTAATCTCTTTGCATATACTATATGGCATTTTCTTGAATCTGGAAGGTAATTCTTATATGAAATATATCCTAGGATTCATTTGCACACTGTTTTCTTATATTTCAGGGTTGGCACCTTTTCAGAAAAAAGAGTTACTTCATTACTTACATCTGAAGAAAAGGAATGTGACTTTGAAGATAGAATTTTATTATCACATGAAATAATACGGTCAGGTACTAGTGAAAGTGAAGATCAAGTAAGTCACTCTAGTGAAAGTCATATGCCATCTTCAAATGGAATCAGCTCATCTTTGTCATTGTTTAATTCAGAAGTAGAGAAAATGTGTCTAAGCCATACAGAGCATCCAATGAATATGAAACAATACAATGAATATGAAACAATACAACATGAATATGAAACAATACAATTTTCCTCCAAGAAATTATTTTCAATGATGAAAACCAACAAAAACAAAAATTCAGAATTTTCTTCTGATCTTAGCTTTTCAGCTTCTAGATTCACTGTAGAAAATGAAGACTTAGATGTGGCACCTTGCCCTCCTGCCCATTTATTTCTTTCTAGAGATCAAGTTAGACTTCTGGAAGAAAATGTGAGAAATCAAATTCCTTCAAAACCAAAAGCTAAGTTAGAGAGTAAAACTACTTATCAGTGCTCAAGATCTCAACAGTCCTTGAATCAGAATCAACCTTATGTTGGAATGGTTATTTCTGTCCAAGCACAGGATTCTTTTCCAGGACAAAATACTATTCAGAATCAAGGTCTTTATGAAGTCCAATTTACTAGTATAAATCATAACCAAGAATTAATCAACAGCCAGCCTGATATCAAGGCCAGCGGCTTTGCCCAGCCTCAAGATGGGATGACGAAGCCATTTTGTAGCAGCGCACAAGATTCATTTCAGTCCCAAGATTTGGAGAGGAACCAACATTTTGTTGAAGTTCCATCAGTTGTTGAGGCACAATATTCAGTCAAGAGCCTGGGGTCTGATGAACACTTCGGTGAGGACCAACATTCTGTTTGGTTGATAAATTCAAACAAGATTAAATATTCAACTAAGAGGCAAGATATTATTTTTAAGAATGCTGGATTTCTAGTTTTAACTCTGAATCCAAATTTAGTTGCTGAAGATATTCCACACCTAAGGACTGTAAAACCAGAAGGCCAGCAACAAATTGTTTCATCAGAATTCAACAAAGATTCTGTATATAGCTCAGTGCCTCTTTCATCTACCATTAAAGGGCAGAAAAATAGAAGAAAAACACCAGACAGTAAAAACAAACTCAGTCTTAACATTCCATCTCTAAAAGCCAAAAAACCACCAACTTCACAAGTATTTCAAATCACAGCATGTCACACTTTAAAAAATAGGAATGAGTTAGGATGCAAGAATAACACTGACAAGAAAGAATTACATGAAAGGAAAGATATATCAGATGTAGCTTTGCATCTTATTTCTGTTTCCAAGCTTATTCTGCCTTATATTAAAAATTATTCCAGAAAACAACTAGTGAAATTCATGCCAGGTTTAATAAAATGTGGACATTTTCTGCAGAGGAAAAATAAGTCACCAGCTACAGAGAAAATCAATTATACAGGTGCTGCTGAGAAGACAGGAATCTTGGGTGCTACTAAAAAAGAAAAGGAGTGTGACAAAGAAAATAAAGGACTAAAAAATATTTCACCAAAAATGTTACCTCAGCTAGAAGAATCCTTCATGGTCAACACCGATCAACTAAAAGCACCTTGTTTACTAGTAGAAACAAATGGGAAGAGTAAGGAATCTCTTAAAGACCCAGTTACACAAGCAAAGGAAATTGCTATTACAGAATTGCATGCTCCAAATAGTAGAAAACCATTTGATCTTCATATTCTGAAGCACAAGACATCTTTAGAAGATGCTATATCAAAACCTACGCAGAAACTCATTTCCTCTCCCAAATGGGAAACGAACAATAGAATGAAAATACAGGAGGTCCTGCAAAGTTCAGAGAATTCCCATCGTCAACTTTCAAATGGAGAGGATTTACCAACTAGTACACCAAAAATGCAAAGGTGCTTTCCAAGGGAAAATACACAGAAACAACAAGATTTTTTGCAACTTGTTCTGGAGTTGTCAAATGTCCATTTGCTAATTTCCCTGGGAAGCAATATGCATAAAAGCAGTGAAGAATTAAAAGCCGTAAAAATTCAAGTGAGTACAGAAAGTGTAAATCTGAAGGAAAATGAACCACTGATGCTTAATGTTACAGATGACCTAAGTGAAAGTGAGGCACTAGAATGCAACGCTAGAAATAACGTAACAAACATGCATCAAGATAAAGAAATGTCTGATGCATTTCACAGTGCCGCTTACACTACCATTTCTGAACTATCTGATACAGAAATAGATAGCAGATTAAAAGCAAAGGCAGACACATTAAGAAGAATAAGGGTCAGTCACTCAGTGTCAAAGCATGAGAAATTACCAGATGAGAAGGAAACACAGAATGCAGAATACATTGATAAGAGCTCTACCTTTAAAAAGTCACAACAATGTGATAGAAAGGAAGAGGAGAAAGAAGCAAATTCAGAGCTGCCACAAGACTTCAGATTCAGCATGCATCTAAAGCAAAGGCCCAAATACATCAAATTTGAAATGGAACAGATCAGTTCAGGAAGTAGTAAAGCCCCAAACAAAGAGCAAGAGGTACAACCACAAACTCTTTCTACACAAACAATTTTGGAGACTAGTCCATGCCCCATGATGGATCCATTTCAAGTTGAGAAGGTGAAGCAAAGCACAGATAGACCTACAGACAGAAAGAGTGCTGCAGATACAAAGAATCCACTTACAATGCCAGAGAACTTGGCAGTTGGTGAACTTTCAGTTGAAACAACAGAGTATAGTGTTCCATTTGGTGGAAACCTCCGAAAGACAATGGATGGTCATACTGTAGAAGAAAAGGAAGACATAAAAAGAGATTTACCTGCAGTTGCCCTGGGGTCTTTTGATATCCGCTTGCTTACTTTATCACATCTTAAAAGGCAGAAAATTAAAAAAACATTATCAGAAACAAAAAATGTTCTCAGTGTCAAATACGTAATTATGAAAGTAAAGAAGCCAGCAATCTCACTGATGCCTTACATCAATATATACGGTACTCCAAACCACAGGAAAAAAATGGGAGGCAATTTTGAAATCATAATTAAACAGATACTGCAAGATAAAATTGTGGCAGGTGTGCTTCTGAATGTTATTAACCCTCACCTGTCTATTTTGCCTAATACTAGAATGCACAGCGGATTAAATGCAGAGAATCACAGTTATATCAAGGTAGTCCAAGAGGAATCCCAAATTGGAAGGGAAGAAAAGTGTCCAGCTTTCATTAATAAGGGAAATGAATCCCAAAATGCACTAGAAGCTAAATTGCAAGATGAAGTAAAACGCATCAAAGAAACTCTACCAAAAGTAGCCCTACATGATAGCTGGAGCCTTGGACTTGACGCACATCTAGCGAAGGAGATTAAAACAGAGAAAGAAATGCATCAGCCAATCCCATTCACAGAAACTACTATGGAGTCTGTTGTCTCTCCCATAATGCAATCATCTCATGTTGAGAATGTGAAGAGCAGTCAAACAACAGAAACAGACTGCAAATGCACTGCAGATTCAGAGATGCCTCCTCCAATATCAGGAAAATCACTGATTGGACACTTTTTAAACCAAACAAGAGAAAGTGATGTTCCAAGTAATGGAAGTGATACAAGAGAAATGGGTTACTGTTTTGCAAGAAAAAAGACAGAAATACCAAAAAATTTACCAGCAGCTTCGCCAGAGACTTACAATTGCTGCACACCTGTTTTGTCTTCTTCTAAAGTGATGAAAAAGAGGGTAACATTTGCACTCACGACAAGTACAGTGAAGTCCAAATGCCTAAATGCAAAGGATGTGAAGCCATCAGTCTCAGAGACAGTCAGTGTCACAAGCCACAGAAAGAAATCGGAGTTAGACTTTAAGTTTAAAAAGATAAACCAAGCTAAAGGATTGGTGCCTGAATATCCAAATGTCCTTTTCTCTCCAATGCATAGCAGATTGCAGAGAGATTTCTGTCTCTCTGTGTCTCAATTAAAGCAAGGAGAACCAGCAGTTAAGACATACACTGATGTCTTTGCTAAGAGTAGTGTATTCCATGACAGAGAGGAAAAATCTCAAGACCGAGAGGAAGAGGAACAAAAAGCTTCATTAGAAGCAGTGCCACAGCTTAGCCAGCACCTGGGGTCTCATGCCTGTCAAATGAAGGAAATCCATCTTGAATCACACCCAGCGCTGAATTATTTAACACTGGAGCAATGTGTTAATGGAAAAAGTTTGCAGCACCAAACAGATTTTAAACAAACTACTTTAAAGACTAGTCTCCAAATGGGTCCTTTAGAAGCTGAAGAAGTACAAAAAACCAACAAAACCAAAAATGACATAATAGCCCTTGTGGGTCCTAAGATTCCACCTCCCAAAGCTTTACAGGCTCCAGAGAATAGCCATGGCTTCATACTCAATGCACATCAGAGGGATCATGAGCTTGTCAAATCAGATGACGGACGGAACCAACCAGGAAATGCAAATATCCAGGTACAACCACAAACACATTTTACACAAACTATTTTGGAGTCTAGTTCAGGTCCTACAGTAGATCAATTTCAATTTGAAAAGGTAGAGAGTTATGTTAGGTTTTCACCTCTAAACTCTGGGGAAGCAAAAGTTGATGAAATCATATCTTATGCAAGAGAAGGTGGTATCTCATCTGATTCTAGCCTTCAGAAGGAACAGCCTGGTGGGAGTGAAAAGAAGGAAACAGTGATTTTTGATTCCTGCATGTCTGCTTTATCTACACCTAAAAGGAAGAGAAACTTAAAACAATTTTCAGACATGAAAACTTTAGTGAATCCCAAATGTGGAATTATGAAGGCAAAGAAGCCATCAATTTCATACATGCTCAATATCAAGGCTAGTGCTGGTCCAAACCATAGAAAAGAACTGAGCTGTAACTTGACAACCAAAATGAAAGAAGTGCATCAAGGCAAAAAGGGGGCAGATAAAACATATGCTTTCCTGACTATGACACCTGACATTAACACGTATGGCAAGGTGGAGACAGAAAAAGACACACTTAGAGAAGAAAGACTCGGTTGTATTCGAGTAAAGCAAGATACATCTCCAAATGAAGATAGTATTACTTCAGATAACATTAAAGAAACCTGTCTTCAAGATGAAGAGCAAGAAGAAAGGAAACAGGAGGCATTGTTAAAAGTAATTCCACAACACGTGCAACATTTCATATTCCGTTCAGGTCAGAGGGAGGATCTCGACTTTCACAAATTAGAAAACCAAGGAAGTAGGAAAATTCTGTTTGTTACCAAGCAAGATGTCCCACAACAACTTCATTCGGCAGAACCAATACAAGGGGTGGAGACAAACAAATGCCTCCAGACCCAAAATGGCACAATATGTACAGTAAACGCAAACCTTCCTCTAAAATCAGAGGACTCACTAAATGGTGAAGTTTTAATTGGTGCAATAAAACATGGTGTGCCAACTGACAGGAAATGTAGGGGGGAACAGCACGATTCAGGTAAAGGGGAAAAGGTTGAGTTTCATAGAGATCTACGAGCAACCGTCCTGGAGTTACAGATATCGCCACATGGTGGGGAGGCAGAGAAGGCCAATTTGACTGATATGGAAAGCGGATCTAACGTTGCAATCAACATGAATGTACAACATGAAAGGGAAGATAAAAATATTCAGAAAATGTTGTCAGACTCAGTTCCATGCCATAGTCAACACCTCAGTTTCAGTGCACATCAAATGAAAGATCCTGACCCTTGCAAATTAGGATCTGAACTGAAAAGTCCAGAAGACAGAAGTTCTTGGAATTTGTCTCATATAGCGCAAAAAACAAAGCAAGAAACACACTTTAGAGAAACGGTTTTAGAGCCTATTTCTAGGTACATGATGAAACAAAGTCCTCATATGCAAGAAGGAATAAAATGTATGGTAGGTCCAAAGACTTCATTTCCCAAAACAGGGAAATCAGAGATTGGTTCAATACCATTTGATACTCCTTTGGATGAAAATCCTAGAAGGAAATGGAATAGTTCTATTTCTGAGAAAACTGCATGGAATCAAAAAAACTTAAGAACAGTCTTAAAACCTTTCGATTTCTCCAGCCTTGTGTCATCTGAATATGAAAGCCAGAGCTATACGTTAGAGTTTATGGGCAAGAAAAGTATAATGAGTCCCAAACGTGTAACTTTGAAGGCAAAGCAACTACCAATTTCACGGTTGTTTAAGATCATAAGATATCCTACAGAAAACCATGGAAAGAAAAAGCAACACCACTTTAAGTACAGGATGAAAGGGAGGCAATGGTACACAAGTATAGGAGAGGCATTACTCAGTGCCACTGAATATGCGAAGAGTCTACCATCCAAAGCAGTGATTGATAAACTCTTATTCAATACAGCAGTGAGGGGCATTCTGTCTAACAGAACACACCGACAAAATCTGGATGGTCTTATTGCAGGTGAAAAGGAAGAGGTACAAGAAAACGTAGCTGAAACTTTCTTGGGTCCTTTAGATTTCCTCATGCCTGTTTTATCTAACCCTAAAAACCAGATGAACACAGTTCACTTATCAGAAAAAGAAATTATATTGAATTCCAAATATTTACCTATGAAGGAAAAGAAGTCATTAGTTTCACAGATACATAAAATCAATAAGCAATCTGCCACAAAACATAGGAAGAAACTTAAATCCTATTTAAAAACTCTATCCAACAGAACACTACAAGAAAATCATGGTCATATTACAGATGAAAAGGAAAAAGTACAGGAAAACTTAGCTGCAACTTTCTTGGGTTCTTTAGATTTCTTCATGCATGTTTTATCTGACTCTAAAAACCAGATAAACATAGTACAGTTATCAGAAAGGAAAATTATATTGAATCACAAATGTTTAACTCTGAAGAAAAAGAAGCCACCAATTTCACAGATACATAAAATCAGTAGACAGTTTACTGCAAAATATAGGAAGAAGCTGGAATCCAATTTAAAAACCAAACTGAAAGCAACGTGGCAAGGTGGAAATGTGGCTGATACATTTCCAAATACCATATTCTTCACTCCAGATACCACTAACATTAAAAAGCCAAGCAGATTCCAAACAGAGATAGACATGAGAATATCAGGGTTAAGTCATACACACCCAACACAAATAGAGTCACCAGCTGAAGTGATAACAAGGTATTCTGATTCCATTGACAAGAGAGGAACTTCCAACTTGTTAAAGGGAGCAAAACTACATGGTAGAGAAAGTGGGGAAGAGAAGCAAGAACATCTTACAGAAATGGGTCCATTCTGTGCAGAAAACTTCATGGCAAATACATATCTTACAAAGGATCCTCATCCTGGCAAATCAGAAGATGTGCTTTTGGGAGAAATTTTTTTCTCACAAAGTCAGATTTACCAAGGGAATTTGGAAAAAAATGTAAAAATGGAAAAAAACAAAAATGGAAAAGGAAGTCTCAAAGTTGGGCTCCCAAGGAAGGAGAAATCAGATAACTGTGCAGAATTGAGTGAGCCAACAGATGATGCCATATCAAATAAATATGGTAAAGAGAACATTGGCTATTCTGTTTTAAAAGAAAAAGCATTCTGTAATCTGGCAGGAATTGTCCCAGGTTCTGTTGGCAGGCATTTGCCTGCTTCAGAAGAAATGAAAAGACAGAATGACAGCCTTCAAACAGCTGACAGGCCAAGTCCTGAAGGTAGACCTTTGCAGGCAAAGCAATCAGCAGTTCCACAATCATTTGATGCTGCAGGTCATGCTGTTCTAACCATTCATAAGGAAGAGAAACAGAAGCTGAAAGCCCAAAAGACAGAAGTAGAGAGAAATGAAGCTGCAATAAAGCTAAAATCTACATGTGTTCCTATACCTAGTCTACTACACATAAAAATGGAGCAATCAGCTGGTACCTGGGATATAGATGAACAATCTTCTGAAACAAGAAATGCCCTAAACAAAGCAAAAGTTAGGGAGAAAGAAGGGTATGGACAACAGGTTTGTTTTCGAACAGCTCCACAGTACATCCAGCCATCTGAGTTTGGAACAGACCAAATGAGAGACCCTGGTCCTTTCAAAACAGAAGCACCCTTAGTCAGTACAGTGTGTTCTAAGAACATCACTCCCCAGAAAACAGAAGTTGATTTAATGGATCAAGAAGCAAAGATAAATGTTGCAGAAGAGTTTAACCCAGAGTCCGTTGTTTTCCCTAAGATACATCTACTTCAAATTGAAAGCAAGAAAGAATTTAAAATTGAAGACTGGAAAACAAGAGCAGATCCCAAGACACTTGCCCTGCAAAAGAAACAGCAAGAGCCGTGTGTCTCAGGCACTACCTGGAGTTCACCTAATCCCTACACATCTATTTACCCTACAACCATAAGACATAAAGATAAGGCAAAGACAGCAAATGTGGAAAGTACTCTGCATACCAAACAGGTAAAATTGAAGGCAAAGAGAATACCAGTTTCCCAGCTGCTTGAATATGGTACTGCAGGCAATCAAAAGGAAACCAGAGGTAACATCCAGCAGCAGAAGAAAAATGCAGTACATCGAGTTCTAAAGGCTGTTTATGACTCTGGATACTTTGTGTCTAGCATTAAAAAGCTTACAGAAGTAAAAATGGAGAAAAACAAGCCAAAAGACAGGGCATGCATTCTTCCACAGTTAAAGCTGGAGAAACCACTAAAAGAAATGCAAAGGTCATTGTCAGGATGTACTGACATGTCCGGCATTCTTAGGAAACAGGAACAAGATATTAGAGAAAAGGAACAAAAGCACCAAAGCATTTTAGAAGACACATCCCAATACTGTATTGAACCATTAAGAATTAGTTCACAACATAGTAATTACAGTAGTTTTGACGCCCCAAGAATTAGAAAAGATGGAGAACTTGAATTTCCCGTTGCACAAAGAGCAAAGGAAAAAGATATAGGCATGGCCAAACATTCAGTTTCAGTTCCAGTTCCATGGGAGAGCGAAGGATCAAAGGGACTAGATATTCCGCTAAACTCAAAAGGACAGAATGTACTTTTTACAGAGTTGGATACTTCTCAACAGATTTGCCAGCAGCAAGAATTGCTGAAACATGAAGATATTTCTATGACAAACCTGGAGTCAATGGCCTGCCCCATTATGGAACCTCTTCATTTGGAAAACACAGGAAAGATAGCTGAGGAAGAAGATGTGTACATTAACAGAAAAAATATTCCACATGTATTGGGAAGAGAAGGATTAATGGAAACTGATATCTTAATAGGTTCTAAAGGACAGAATTTTTTTTGTACAAATCCAGAGGGTCAGCACGAAGTGCCTATGGTGCAGGAAGGACAGGTGAATCCAGATTATGTTCCTGAAAGTATTCTGGATTCTGTATCTTTCCCCAATAAGGACCCTCTTCACTTAAAACAGACAGAGAAAACAAAGAAAGAAAATGTTAGCATCTCTGAAAGTTTCAATGAAAATCCTTGGGGAAGAGAGCAATCAAAATTAACTAACATTACATTAAAATCAAATAGACAGAAAATGGACTTTTCAAAAAAATTGAGGGCAAAGCAACTAAGTAACTGTTATCAGAATAAAGAGAATACTCTGGAATCCATTTTCCCTTACACATTGCATCAACTTCATATTGAAAATCCCAAGAAAGAAGGCTCAGCAGAAGAAATAATGAGTTCAAAAGTTTTAAGCCCAATGATAGAGAAGGCATCACACAAAGTAGGCATTCCGGTGGATCAACCTCCATGTTCAGAAGGAATACATTTGAATATTAAAGGAAGAAAAGAACATCCACAAGAAAGTACACACAAGGCTTTTCCAGCATCTGTTTCTCACTCTCTAATGGACATACATGAGATTAAGTCACCAAAGGTAAAGAAAGCAGATAGTTCAGGGTGCCACATTTCAAATACAAAAGAAATTGGCTTGCTTTTTACAGGACAGTCAGAACAGGAAGAAAAATGTACATATGAGGCTCTTCTAAAGTCTGCACCTCACTCCAAAACAGATCTACATCGATTCAATGCCTCAATGCAAGAAGAGAAATTAGATGCTATGAATATTCTGCATTATGACCATTTAACTTCACAGGCTAGAGAAGCAGTAAAACAAATGGATGTTATAGTTGGATATACTCAAAACAGTAAAAAAGGACAAGCCTTACTCAAAACAGGCCAAAAATGGCAGTGCCCACCAATTTCCCATGAGAACTTTTGGGAGCATATATCTTACCCTCAAAAGCATCCCTATGTCCTGCAACATTTAATGCCTCAGGAAAAGGAAGCAATATCAGAAGGAGGTAATGTATCAAGCCGGACTCCAGGACTAGACTTGTTTTCTGAAGATCAAATAAGTACCGAAACTAAGGATGGACTAGAAGGGATTGTGCCCTTCGTTACTCCAAGGCAGATGAATAAACAAGATACAATGCTGCCTTTAGGATCATACCGTAAAACTATGAAATATCCAAGTCTCTTATTTCCAAAAGGAATGAAATCATCAGAGGGGGTACAGGTCTTTGATTTAATATCAAATAACAGCTCACCCAAGTTGAGATTTGGGAAGAAAATAGAATCACATAAGGCAAATCAAAAGGTGCAAAAAGAAGTATGTCTGCCTGTAATATTACATCCTCTTTCTGTATCCATGCCTATTTTGCCAGAAAGTAAGGGACAGAAGGATAGCATAAAACAAGTTATTAGGAAAGGTGTGATATACCACAAAAGAAGAACTCCAAAATTGAAGAAATCGGTATTTTCACATATACTCAATACCAGTGACTGTGGTGCCCCAAGTGACAGACTAGAAATGCAGTGGAACGTGACAGAGAAAATGATCAATGTGAAACATAGAATGAGTGAACTAGATTTGGTTGCAGCAAAAATATATGAGTCCATTCTTTCTTTACCTCACTTCAAATTGAATAAAGAGACAACTGATGGGGTGGTCTCAAATAATGTAAAAAGGACAAAACAACATAGATCACAGGGAGAGAAGAAAGATAGAGTCAAAGCAATGGATATGAAAAGAATAAAAAGCCCTAACATCATTTTGAAGCCAAATAAATCATCACTGTTACATACACTCAGTATAAAGGAATTTCCTTTGCTGTTGGATGTTATGAAACAAGAGGGCAAGATGCAAGAAGGTGAAGGTAAATCAGGTATGAAACTGACAAACTTGTGTACTTCTTTACCATCTCTATCACATAGTAATTCAAATTCAAGAACAAAAGCAGGTAAAGAGATGTCAGGAATTCCAAAGGACTGCCTTCCACCACTAAAGCTCCAGGCATCATCGAACATCAGAAGAGTATCATTTGCAGAGTCAATTAATAGAGAGAGTTTAAGTAATGTAATAAAATTGAAATGTTTGCCACAGAAAAATAAGGAAGATAGAGAAAATATAGTAGATGTGAAAGATATAATGGGCCTCATATGTATCACTTTGAAAGGAAAGAAATCACCTTTTAAACACTTACTGCATGGAAAAGAACCACAGCGGAGCAGTAAAAAACTAGAGAAAATGATGCGGGAAGATAAAAGTAATCTAGACATAGTTCAGAATAAACTCTGTGCTTCTATTCTTTCTTCACCTCACTTGCAATGGAATCCTAGAATAAAAGAGGTATACATAAGAGAAATAACAAGATTCTGTCTTCCATCCTCCACATTCCAGGAATTATCAGACACAGTGGGAAAATGTGAGCAGGCAGTTGGTGATATTCGAAGCAGTATCGGAAAAGCAAAACATATACCGGAGAACGACAAAGACAGAGTGGAAAAGGCTTTGGAAAAAATTATGCACTCCAAAAGAATAGCTCTGGAGGTGAAGCAGGCTTCAGTGTTCCAAGAATTAAACATCAAAGAAAAAGGGGAAGAGATTCAGGAAAATAAACAAGCTGAGATTTGGAGCAAACCTTTTGCTTCCATCTCTGTTCTACCTCACTCTAAAATGGACGCAATAAAAGGAGAGGAAGCCATGGGTATGAAAATGAGATCCTCTTTTTCACAGCCAAATCTCCAAGAGTCATCAGATATAGAGAAAATAGCATATGAAAAGTATATTTCTGATAATATCTCAAACAGTGTAAAAAAGACCCTAGAACATATATTGGAAAAAGAACAGGAGAGGCTAAAAACGGAAAAAAATTTACCTTTGAAGAAAAGGAAATTATCAATTTCACAGGGAATTCAGTTGGATATCAAAGAGCAAGAGAAAAAGATAGAAAATATTAAAGGTGAATCAAGTGTGCTTCTGATGAATGCCAGCACTTCTATCCCTTCTTCTCATTTGCAATTGGATACAAGAATAGAAAAAGCAGAGTATGTAACTGAAGTAACGAGAAACTATCTTCCAGGACTATCACACCAAAAATCAACAGAGGCAGGGAAAAAAGCAGATGGAGTGGCCAATGAGAATAATGTCACAACTGAAGTACAAAAAGCAAAAGATTATACGCAACAGAAAGAAGAGAATGAAGTCAGAATATCAGCTAAGAAAGACATAATGCATCCAGAAGACAAAGGTCTAAAAGGAAAGAAGGCCCTTTCACAGGACCTACCATTGAATCCTAAAGAGCCAAAGCAAATGGATCAAGAAGCTCAGGAGCAAGGGAAAGAAGACAGAGAAGGTGAGGAGCAAGGGAAAGAAGATGGAAAAGGAGCAGGACAGGGAAGAGCTGATAGAGGAGACAAACAGCAAGGGAAAATACATCACGAAGTTGAAGAGCAACAGAAAGCAGATGGAGTAGGCATAGAGCATTGGAAAACGGACGGGCACAAGAGTGAAAAGGAAGCAGTTCTCTTCCTATATCTGCCTTCCGAGTCCTCTCTAACTAGTTATAAATTGAACACAAGAATAGAAGGAGAGGAAGAATTACAAGGAATAATAAAATCTGCTACTTCGCAGTTAAGGCACCGGAAATCATTTGATGCAGGGAAAATAGCTCACACAAGGTCATTTGGGGAGGATAGCTCAAATGATGTAAAAACATTACAAGAATACAAGCTACAGGAAGAAGCAGATGGAGAAAAGACAGTAAGTATGGATCCTGTAAGGCAACCTGAAGGCACAATTTTTGAGGCAGAGCAATTAACACTTCCACATACACTCAGTATTCCTGGCAGTGGTGGCTCAAAAACTGGAGAAGTACCAACAAACATAAAAGAAAAACTGAGACAAGTAAAGGAAAGAAAGAGTGAACTAGAAGAGGTTCTGACAACACCATCTCTACCTCACCGTGAATTAGATAAAGGAACAGAAGGCACAAAAGAGAAACAAGGAGTAACAAGAGCCTTTCCTCCACCTTCATGGGACACAGAATCATCAGATACAGAGAAATTAAAATATACAACGTCATCTTTGAATTATATTGCAGGGGATTCACAAAGAACAAAATACACGGCCCAGATACAAAAGGATAAGGCAAATACTTCTGAGAAAAGTGTATTGCATCCCAAGTACATCATTATGAAGGCGGAGAAATCACCCACTTCCCGTATGCTAAAAGCAAAGGAACTGCAAGTGAACATCAGTCAACAAGAGGAAAAGGCACAGGAAGGTGAGGTGGAAATAGTTGTGCTTCTGAGCAAAACTTGTCCTTTTGTCACTTCTTCAACTTTCCTTGAGTTAGACTCAATAAAAGAAGAAGGCGAACCAGGAATAAGAAGAAGCTGTAAGCCACATCTTGAGCTCCAGNAATCAAAAGGAAACCAGAGGTAACATCCAGCAGCTGAATAAAAATGCAGTACATCGAGTTCTAAAGGCTGTTTATGACTCTGGATACTTTGTGTCTAGCATTAAAAAGCTTACAGAAGTAAAAATGGAGAAAAACAAGCCAAAAGACAGGGCATGCATTCTTCCACAGTTAAAGCTGGAGAAACCACTAAAAGAAATGCAAAGGTCATTGTCAGGATGTACTGACATGTCCGGCATTCTTAGGAAACAGGAACAAGATATTAGAGAAAAGGAACAAAAGCACCAAAGCATTTTAGAAGACACATCCCAATACTGTATTGAACCATTAAGAATTAGTTCACAACATAGTAATTACAGTAGTTTTGACGCCCCAAGAATTAGAAAAGATGGAGAACTTGAATTTCCCGTTGCACAAAGAGCAAAGGAAAAAGATATAGGCATGGCCAAACATTCAGTTTCAGTTCCAGTTCCATGGGAGAGCGAAGGATCAAAGGGACTAGATATTCCGCTAAACTCAAAAGGACAGAATGTACTTTTTACAGAGTTGGATACTTCTCAACAGATTTGCCAGCAGCAAGAATTGCTGAAACAAGAAGATATTTCTATGACAAACCTGGAGTCAATGGCCTGCCCCATTATGGAACCTCTTCATTTGGAAAACACAGGAAAGATAGCTGAGGAAGAAGATGTGTACATTAACAGAAAAAATATTCCACATGTATTGGGAAGAGAAGGATTAATGGAAACTGATATCTTAATAGGTTCTAAAGGACAGAATTTTTTTTGTACAAATCCAGAGGGTCAGCACGAAGTGCCTATGGTGCAGGAAGGACAGGTGAATCCAGATTATGTTCCTGAAAGTATTCTGGATTCTGTATCTTTCCCCAATAAGGACCCTCTTCACTTAAAACAGACAGAGAAAACAAAGAAAGAAAATGTTAGCATCTCTGAAAGTTTCAATGAAAATCCTTGGGGAAGAGAGCAATCAAAATTAACTAACATTACATTAAAATCAAATAGACAGAAAATGGACTTTTCAAAAAAATTGAGGGCAAAGCAACTAAGTAACTGTTATCAGAATAAAGAGAATACTCTGGAATCCATTTTCCCTTGCACATTGCATCAACTTCGTATTGAAAATCCCAAGAAAGAAGGCTCAGCAGAAGAAATAATGAGTTCAAAAGTTTTAAGCCCAATGATAGAGAAGGCATCACACAAAGTAGGCATTCCGGTGGATCAACCTCCATGTTCAGAAGGAATACATTTGAATATTAAAGGAAGAAAAGAACATCCACAAGAAAGTACACACAAGGCTTTTCCAGCATCTGTTTCTCACTCTCTAATGGACATACATGAGATTAAGTCACCAAAGGTAAAGAAAGCAGATAGTTCAGGGTGCCACATTTCAAATACAAAAGAAATTGGCTTGCTTTTTACAGGACAGTCAGAACAGGAAGAAAAATGTACATATGAGGCTCTTCTAAAGTCTGCACCTCACTCCAAAACAGATCTACATCGATTCAATGCCTCAATGCAAGAAGAGAAATTAGATGCTATGAATATTCTGCATTATGACCATTTAACTTCACAGGCTAGAGAAGCAGTAAAACAAATGGATGTTATAGTTGGATATACTCAAAACAGTAAAAAAGGACAAGCCTTACTCAAAACAGGCCAAAAATGGCAGTGCCCACCAATTTCCCATGAGAACTTTTGGGAGCATATATCTTACCCTCAAAAGCATCCCTATGTCCTGCAACATTTAATGCCTCAGGAAAAGGAAGCAATATCAGAAGGAGGTAATGTATCAAGCCGGACTCCAGGACTAGACTTGTTTTCTGAAGATCAAATAAGTACCGAAACTAAGGATGGACTAGAAGGGATTGTGCCCTTCGTTACTCCAAGGCAGATGAATAAACAAGATACAATGCTGCCTTTAGGATCATACCGTAAAACTATGAAATATCCAAGTCTCTTATTTCCAAAAGGAATGAAATCATCAGAGGGGGTACAGGTCTTTGATTTAATATCAAATAACAGCTCACCCAAGTTGAGATTTGGGAAGAAAATAGAATCACATAAGGCAAATCAAAAGGTGCAAAAAGAAGTATGTCTGCCTGTAATATTACATCCTCTTTCTGTATCCATGCCTATTTTGCCAGAAAGTAAGGGACAGAAGGATAGCATAAAACAAGTTATTAGGAAAGGTGTGATATACCACAAAAGAAGAACTCCAAAATTGAAGAAATCGGTATTTTCACATATACTCAATACCAGTGACTGTGGTGCCCCAAGTGACAGACTAGAAATGCAGTGGAACGTGACAGAGAAAATGATCAATGTGAAACATAGAATGAGTGAACTAGATTTGGTTGCAGCAAAAATATATGAGTCCATTCTTTCCTTACCTCACTTCAAATTGAATAAAGAGACAACTGATGGGGTGGTCTCAAATAATGTAAAAAGGACAAAACAACATAGATCACAGGGAGAGAAGAAAGATAGAGTCAAAGCAATGGATATGAAAAGAATAAAAAGCCCTAACATCATTTTGAAGCCAAATAAATCATCACTGTTACATACACTCAGTATAAAGGAATTTCCTTTGCTGTTGGATGTTATGAAACAAGAGGGCAAGATGCAAGAAGGTGAAGGTAAATCAGGTATGAAACTGACAAACTTGTGTACTTCTTTACCATCTCTATCACATAGTAATTCAAATTCAAGAACAAAAGCAGGTAAAGAGATGTCAGGAATTCCAAAGGACTGCCTTCCACCACTAAAGCTCCAGGCATCATCGAACATCAGAAGAGTATCATTTGCAGAGTCAATTAATAGAGAGAGTTTAAGTAATGTAATAAAATTGAAATGTTTGCCACAGAAAAATAAGGAAGATAGAGAAAATATAGTAGATGTGAAAGATATAATGGGCCTCATATGTATCACTTTGAAAGGAAAGAAATCACCTTTTAAACACTTACTGCATGGAAAAGAACCACAGTGGAGCAGTAAAAAACTAGAGAAAATGATGCGGGAAGATAAAAGTAATCTAGACATAGTTCAGAATAAACTCTGTGCTTCTATTCTTTCTTCACCTCACTTGCAATGGAATCCTAGAATAAAAGAGGTATACATAAGAGAAATAACAAGATTCTGTCTTCCATCCTCCACATTCCAGGAATTATCAGACACAGTGGAAAAATGTGAGCAGCCAGTTGGTGATATTCGAAGCAGTATCGGAAAAGCAAAACATATACCGGAGAACGACAAAGACAGAGTGGAAAAGGCTTTGGAAAAAATTATGCACTCCAAAAGAATAGCTCTGGAGGTGAAGCAGGCTTCAGTGTTCCAAGAATTAAACATCAAAGAAAAAGGGGAAGAGATTCAGGAAAATAAACAAGCTGAGATTTGGAGCAAACCTTTTGCTTCCATCTCTGTTCTACCTCACTCTAAAATGGACGCAATAAAAGGAGAGGAAGCCATGGGTATGAAAATGAGATCCTCTTTTTCACAGCCAAATCTCCAAGAGTCATCAGATATAGAGAAAATAGCATATGAAAAGTATATTTCTGATAATATCTCAAACAGTGTAAAAAAGACCCTAGAACATATATTGGAAAAAGAACAGGAGAGGCTAAAAACGGAAAAAAATTTACCTTTGAAGAAAAGGAAATTATCAATTTCACAGGGAATTCAGTTGGATATCAAAGAGCAAGAGAAAAAGATAGAAAATATTAAAGGTGAATCAAGTGTGCTTCTGATGAATGCCAGCACTTCTATCCCTTCTTCTCATTTGCAATTGGATACAAGAATAGAAAAAGCAGAGTATGTAACTGAAGTAACGAGAAACTATCTTCCAGGACTATCACACCAAAAATCAACAGAGGCAGGGAAAAAAGCAGATGGAGTGGCCAATGAGAATAATGTCACAACTGAAGTACAAAAAGCAAAAGATTATACGCAACAGAAAGAAGAGAATGAAGTCAGAATATCAGCTAAGAAAGACATAATGCATCCAGAAGACAAAGGTCTAAAAGGAAAGAAGGCCCTTTCACAGGACCTACCATTGAATCCTAAAGAGCCAAAGCAAATGGATCAAGAAGCTCAGGAGCAAGGGAAAGAAGACAGAGAAGGTGAGGAGCAAGGGAAAGAAGATGGAAAAGGAGCAGGACAGGGAAGAGCTGATAGAGGAGACAAACAGCAAGGGAAAATACATCACGAAGTTGAAGAGCAACAGAAAGCAGATGGAGTAGGCATAGAGCATTGGAAAACGGACGGGCACAAGAGTGAAAAGGAAGCAGTTCTCTTCCTATATCTGCCTTCCGAGTCCTCTCTAACTAGTTATAAATTGAACACAAGAATAGAAGGAGAGGAAGAATTACAAGGAATAATAAAATCTGCTACTTCGCAGTTAAGGCACCGGAAATCATTTGATGCAGGGAAAATAGCTCACACAAGGTCATTTGGGGAGGATAGCTCAAATGATGTAAAAACATTACAAGAATACAAGCTACAGGAAGAAGCAGATGGAGAAAAGACAGTAAGTATGGATCCTGTAAGGCAACCTGAAGGCACAATTTTTGAGGCAGAGCAATTAACACTTCCACATACACTCAGTATTCCTGGCAGTGGTGGCTCAAAAACTGGAGAAGTACCAACAAACATAAAAGAAAAACTGAGACAAGTAAAGGAAAGAAAGAGTGAACTAGAAGAGGTTCTGACAACACCATCTCTACCTCACCGTGAATTAGATAAAGGAACAGAAGGCACAAAAGAGAAACAAGGAGTAACAAGAGCCTTTCCTCCACCTTCATGGGACACAGAATCATCAGATACAGAGAAATTAAAATATACAACGTCATCTTTGAATTATATTGCAGGGGATTCACAAAGAACAAAATACACGGCCCAGATACAAAAGGATAAGGCAAATACTTCTGAGAAAAGTGTATTGCATCCCAAGTACATCATTATGAAGGCGGAGAAATCACCCACTTCCCGTATGCTAAAAGCAAAGGAACTGCAAGTGAACATCAGTCAACAAGAGGAAAAGGCACAGGAAGGTGAGGTGGAAATAGTTGTGCTTCTGAGCAAAACTTGTCCTTTTGTCACTTCTTCAACTTTCCTTGAGTTAGACTCAATAAAAGAAGAAGGCGAACCAGGAATAAGAAGAAGCTGTAAGCCACATCTTGAGCTCCAGACATCATTGCCTTCAGGGCAAACAGCACCTACAAAGCCAATAGAGAGCCTTGTAAAGGAGGGGAAACATCCTCTCCCACAGAAAGAATGCAGAGTACAAACAGCATTCATGCATGGTGTAATACACCCCAATGATGCCATCTTCGAGGCAAAGACATCAGCACCTGCACAAGTGTTCAGCATCACTGAGCACAGTCCTCCGAGCAAGAGAAAGGAGCCACAGTGGGGCATGAAAGAGAGAGCAGGACAGAAGCAGGAAAGGACAGGACGTTCTCATGTGATTCTGACAAAAACTCATCCGTTCATGCCTTCTGCCTCTCACCATGGATTCTCTCCTTCACAACTGAAGATTCCTGTATCATCAGCTTCAGAAAAAAATGTGTCTCTCCCACAGTCATGGTTCCAGGAATCATCAGATGCAGGGAGAATAGCATGTCCAGAAACAATCCATGAAGAACTTTCAAATGATGTAAAACAATTAAAAGTACACTTGCTACAGAAAGAAGAGAAGGATAGAGGGGAAGTAGCAGATACCACCAGTGTAGTGGATCCCAACAAAATGTATTTGAAGGCAAAGAAATCACCTGTCTTACATACACACAGTTTAAGTGATCTTCAGTGGAAAACTAGAGAACAAGAGGAGGAAAAGTTTCAGAAAGTTAAAAGTGGGCCACGTGTCATGTGGTCTAAGAGTCCTTCTAGATCCTCCCCACTTCACTTTAACATGAGGACTGAGTTTCAAGAGGAAAGCAAACCGATATTAACAAGATCCTCTTTTCCCCTAGTAAAGCTTCAGGAATCACCAGATACTGAGGGAGGCATAGACATAAGGCCAATTGCTGGTGATGTTTTAATCCATCTACAAAAAGGAAAACACGTGTCACAGAACAAGGAAGAGGATGAAGTGCAAATAGTAAACATCATAATATTCCCCAAACATCAGGAAGAGAAAATACAGGAATGTGAAGGTGAACCAGGTGTGGTTCTGACCAAATCTACTTCATGGCCAACTCTGTCTCAACTGGAATTGGATAAAGAAACACACTTAGACAATGAAATTCTCAGACTTAAAAGCTCTACTCTGCAGAGAATATCACACATGGGGGAGATTGTACGTAGAGAATCAATTGTTGATGATAACTCGAAAGATGTTAAAAATGAAAAGCAACATATCCCTCAAAAAGAAGAAAGGGAAATAGATACAAGAGGCACAGACATAACTTTGAAGTCAAAGAAGTCCCCTCGTTCCTGTTTGCTCCATAGAACAGAACTACATGTGAACATCAGAGGGCAAGGACCAAAGGAAGATGAAGGTCAAGATAAACCACCAGGTATGATTCAAAGAAAGAAGTATGCTTCCAAACTTTTACCACCTAACCTTAAACTGGAGAGAGCTACGCAAGCGGATGAAGAAAGGCTTGGAGGTAAGACATCCGGTTTACTTCCACTAATGCCTTCAGCATTACCAGATACAGAGAAAACAGCAGCTGCAGAGGCAAGGAGTGGTGATGTAAGAAAAGGAAAAGCATATAGGTCACAGAAAGAAAACAGGCATGAAGTGAATACAATAGAGATGAGGGTCAGGATACACGGCCAAGAGTCAAGGAGTTCACCAATTTCACATATCCTTAATGCAAAGGAATTAGTGTTGAATATTAACAAACTGGAGAAAAAAGTACACAAAGATAAAGACGAAGCATGTGTGATTCTGCCACGGACTTTTCTTTCTGTACCATCGGTGCCTCCTCTTTATGTGGATTCAGGGAACAAAATAGACAAAGACACACCAGGAATCGAAGGACCGTCTGGTCCACAGCGAAATCTCCGGGTACCCTCAAATATCCAGAAAATAACAAAGAGAGACTCAGTTGAAGGCGATGACAAAAACATTGTTAAGCAAGCAGGACAGTACGTGCCTCACCCAGAGGCAGAGCCACAGTGGACCTCAAACTTCAAGATCGGCGTTCAGCAAAGGAAGGAACCTTCACCAGTCAGGTCAAGAGAATATTTGAGTCAGTTAGTTTTAAATTCACAGGATGAGGACGTTTATTTCACAGGGTTTGGTAACAGAAGAAGTGGAAAAAGGCTGGAATGGCTCTTTACAAAGAAAAAGGCTCAGCCAGAAAAATACAAAACAGAAACTTTTACTGCGTTTCTTTCCTATCCCACAATGGATGCAACTAAAATGGGTGGTCGGGAGGAAGAAACTGAAATAATGGACAACTTAAACCATAAAATCAGTCCCGAGGTTTCAGTTTCACTGCTAAGGAAAATATCTAAGGAACTACACATCACTCTTGGCACCCTTGCAAGTTCAAAAGGATTTTCTATTTCAGAGAGACATGCTCACCAGCAAGAAACTTCATTGAAAGTATCTCCAGAACTTGCAGGTTCATGCACATTTGATAAGCCAGGAGAAGATGTACAAAGTAATGATAAAATCAGCAAAATATTTTCTCCCAAGGTGTTAGCACCACAGACAAAGGGATCACTCAAAAAAATAGATATCGTCACCAATTGGAATGCCCCACAAAATATAGAAGAACAAGATATTGGCATGAAAAACCAAGTGTTGCGACAGTTGGAACATGGGCACAAGATCAGGCCGAACACTATCCTTTCTCTTAAGTTTCCACTTCGAAGTGGAAGGGAGAAGACACCATCGGAAACAGATGTGGACCAGAAAACAACAGCGCAGCCCAGCCTACAGATACTCCAGATACTACCAGGGACACATATAGATGTGACAGAGATTGACACTGCAAGAGGGGGAAAGGAGCAGGCATTGCTCATTTCAGAACAAGAGGAATGTGTTCTGGAATTGCTTCCCAAGTCCCTATTTCCTCCCTGGACTTTTCCACTTCAATCAGGGGATCTGAAAGAAAAAGATCAAACAGACACAAACACCAATGTAAATGTAGAGCAGAAACAATTAGAAGTGGACCATGGTAGTGCTGTGAATCAGAAAGAAGGGAAATTAAAAATAGGCACAAACAGAGCTTTACATCTGGAAGAAGATAAAACGGAGTTGCATAAGGGCGGGACTGCCAATCTGGAGAAGGAGAAAGTAAGAATGGACACAAGCCATAGTGCACACCTGCACCTTCCATCTCTAAAGGCAGAAGAATCTCAAGTGAAGACTCAGGTCATCACTCATAGGGAGAAGAGCCGCCTAATCGTGCAAAAACAGAAAAATGAACTAGAGGCATCTAACGCAAAACAAAACACTCAACTACAAAAATTGTTTCAAAGAAATATCCTGGATTCTTTTTATTCCTGTGTTCCTCTTTCTTCCAAACGTAAAGACCAAAAAGGCAGATTAACAATAACAGATCTGAAAAGAGAATTGAGCACCAAATATTTAACCATGAAAATCCAGAAACACCCAATTCCACAGATGCTTAATATCACAGGGTGTGGTACACCAAGCAATGGAAAGAAATTAGAGTCTGATGTTAAGTTAAAGAACATAGTTTTATGGAGTAAAGATATCTCAGGAGTATTTATCAGAAGCATTTCTATTTCCATGCTGAGTTCACCTCACCCTGACTCTGAGACAAACCTAGAAAGAGAAAAGGGAATCTGCCTTTCTAAATTCCAGGAAAAATCACCAAACACTCGTGACATTTTTAAGAGAGACAGTTTAACAATTGTAAAAGGGAAGCGGAATTTGACAAGCACAGCTCCACAAGATCCCCAGCCCTTTGTAGCAGCTAAACAACAAATGCAGAAACTTCCTAATGTCAAGTCAGAAGCAAACCTCAGAAGTGAAATGAATAAAAAATACTTAAAGTCGCAAACAAAAGGATGGGTTGTCCTAGAGAACGATGTCTCAAGCGTCATTAAAAAACCAGACTTGCATATCATCGAGCAAGAAGAAATGATTCCCAAATGCATTCTGACCCCCACAGAGTGTCCATCTATGCTTGAAGAGCCAAAGTTACCCAAGCAAAGGGATCAGAGTGAACCACTGTGGGATATGACCACACAAAATGTTCAGCAACAAAATGCTTTCCCAGGAACTGTGGCCATACCACCTCAAGTTAAAAGTAATGAAGTCAAAATAGTTGCAGACAGTACAAATGCAGAACATTTACTTCCTATTTGTGAAGCAACCAAATATATCTCTGAATCCCATGTTAAAAATATGCTCCAAGACAAAGTTTCTTCTGATAAACTGGGTAACATACAAGCCTATAAGCCTGATGACTTGGAGTTAGTACCTTTTCCAGAGGTTTCACATACAACATCAACAGCAAAATATCCCAAAATGCAGCACAAACCCCTTTTAGAACAGTTTACTCCCAAAGAAAAAAATAAGCTTACTAATCATTTAGAGTCAAAAGCATTTGAAATACAACTGAAGCTGATGCCAGAGATGGCAAAAAAATCTTTACGCATGTTCAACTTTTATCCAAAAGGGACTCTTTCAAACGATAAATGCTGGAAGTTCTATTCGAGACATAAAACAATGAGCTTTATGTCTCTAGAAGGGATTGATACCATAGAACCTAACTCAAAACACAAATACCAAAATAATTCACCTCCTACCAGCAATGTGAAGACGCTGACTGTTGATGTTTCAAGTGGCAGTGTGGAGACCACAAAGCTACAGAGTATTCATAAGCTAGAAAGTGGAACATCTTCAGTGACTTCTGCTAGTGAGATGCTATTGCCTCATACCCTCCAAAACCACTCAGCAAAAGAAAAAGCCAAACTCCTCATGCACTTTTCTGTGAAAACATTGGAGATACACATGAAAGCCTTTCCCGGAATTGTAAGAGAATCTCATGCAATGACCAGTGCTCAGGAGAGAAAGAAACCTCTCTCTAACTGTGTTCATTCTGGTATCACAAGACCAAAAAGACAAAACAGAATTTTGTTACTTTTTGAGGAAAAATCTCTCCATCAAATAGATCTTGATTTACAATACAAATACCTTCGTTTTCTCCTGGGGCCTCCTGTTGGAAGTACATTCCCTAAGCCAAATGTACTCCCCAAACATAATAAGTTAAACACAGTTGGAATATGTCAAAAAGTAGATGCTGGTGGAGAAAGTGGGAGTCTTCCCATTGATACAGAACTGTTAGAGCAACATATTTCTTTCAAAAGGCAAAGTCCCCATGAAAACTCATCGCTTATCAGGAAACTCCCAGAGCCAACCCTCGTGTGTGAATCTGACCGTGATCTGCACAGCCCGAGGAAGAAAGATACTCAAGCTCTTTCACATTCAGAATTCCATGTGACTCCAGAAAAAAACAAACAGTATCATGTATGGTTTCAAGAAACAAATACATATAAATCTACCCATTTAAGGACTCAGAGCAATGCTGTTGGTTCAGCTGATTCACATGAAACTCAGATTTCGAAAGATTTTATTGATATTCAGACAAATATTGAGAGTCCAGCTGAGTTGGACAAATATCCAGATCTTGAAGTAAGTGAGAGTGAGGAATGTATGTTTCTGGAAGCCAACTCTTATTTAAATCAGGAATCACAAAACATTCTATTTGAATTACAGACAGGCATGCCTTTGGAAAATCCCTACAAAATCACAAGTGATTTGAAATCATTTTACAGTGACGATTCAGGTTCGCATTGTACTAGAGGGTACAGAAAGCAAACCTCATTTATTACACCGCCTTCTTATAAGTCCCACGAAACCAGGAAATATAGATCATCTTCCAAAATGAAATCTCCTGACTGGTTGTGTCATCGTTCATTAAATACTATGGAAATTCAGTCTAGGTCATCTGGTGTATCACTCAGTGAGGAGAAACTTTCATGGACTACCAGGAGCAGAACAAGTTATTCTTTAGCTTCTTTAACAGAGTCAAATATTAAATTGCATCTTGCAAAAAACCAAGACAAGTCTCACATGCACCCAGAAAGAAAAGAAAGAAAAAAGGCCAGATTTGATTTATTTAAGAAGAAAAACAGTCACTGGGACCATGATTACAGTTGTACACACAGTAAAGAGAAATGGGCCAGAAAGAAGAGAGTGCATGATTATGAGTCAGAACGATTGGTTTGTTTCCAAAGCAAACATAAATCAACATCAAAACCTCATCGTGACGATATCAACTTCGATTCTGAAAGAAAACAAAACCGGCCCTTTTTTTTTGCGTGTGTACCAGCAGACTCACTGGAGGTCATACCCAAAACCATCTGCTGGACTATTCCCCCTGAAACCTTAAGGAAAAGAAACTTCAGAGTTCCCCTAGTGGCAAAGATTTCAAGTTCTTGGAATATATGGAGTTCCTCCAAAAAGTTGTTGGGGTCGCTTTCGGGGTCCCTTACTTCAGTTTATCACAGCTGACATTACCATAGCTAAACTCCTCTGAAGTGGACAGCTGGTGGCTGTTGTGATATTCTGTGAAAAATAAAATCATAGAACGTCCAATGGTTTCCTCGTGAAGTGTTTTCATATAAAGATAGAAAGTAATCCAATCTTCTAGTGACTGATTGAAATTTGTTATTTATCTTTAACGATTGAGAAAGTTCAGGCACAAAATTGCTGACCCTGGCAATTTTGTGTACCATTTCATCAGGAACCACCAGACTTCATCAGAAATGGATACATCAGATATGATAAGGTGCAGACCAATAGGTTGAGATGCGTAAAATGTGTGACTTCACTCGCAGATGTCCTTGCTGTTTGTGGTATCAGTATGGGTTTATACTGCACAAACACAAAACTCTGGCAAACCCTATGTCATGCAATTCCCATCAAAAAAGGAAGAATAGTAAATGAATAGGGCATGCTCCGCTCTTTTGAGTATATTCTTGTCAGAAGGGAACACCTTTTTGACTAGGTGTTGTAGAGAAAGATTTACCCGCTTATAATTGTACACGCCTGATGAAAAGAAGCCTTTTCTGCCTGCCAGCCTCTCACACTGTACATTTCAAGCTCTGTTTCTCTGCTCTTTGCCCGGTCCTTTGGTCCTGGGCACTGTAGGAGGCTTTCATGTTAGGATGTAGCCCCTGACTTTGCACCTTTTTGTCACCACCTAGGATGTGTCCTTTAAAGTGGGCAGAAGGATTCCTGGAAGCTATTCCTACACTTTGATAGAAATATATATCAAAGTGAATGTCAATCACTTAAATATATAGCCCGCTATGCCCAGTCTAAATGTATCCTAACTCAACTTCCCCTAAATCTAATCCCCCAAATATTTGTAACCTATCCAACCTCACTGACTTGAAGTCAGATGTGATGGAGGGTAAGAAAGTAGAAATAAATAATATTTTAAACTAATTGCAGCAAACCTATCTTACGTTTACAAATCTTTGGGACCCTGAAGCTCAAGCTTCTTCAGCTTTTATAGTATTTCTGCTTATGTAGATAACATCAACTTATTATTTTCCATATTCTAAGCAACAAATTCAAAGTCTACCAGATACCATGCCTTGTTCTGGGTACTGAACCTAACACAAATTAATAAAGCACAATCTTTAAAAATGTTTTAAATTTTAATTATTAATACATAATGGCTATACATATTTATGGGGTCTATATGATATTTTGATACAAGTATATAAGGTATAATGATCAAATCAGGGTAATTAGGGTATCTGTCACCTCAAGCATTTATCATTTTTTAAACTATCTTTCTGAGACTAAGTCTCGTTATGTTGCCCAGTCTGGTCTTGAACTCCTGGGCCCAAGCCAAGTAACTGGGATTGTTGGTGCATTTTATCCCAAACCTGAATTAACAAAGCACAATGTTTTTAAATTTCTGTTTTTATTTTAGATTCAGGGTGTATACGTGAAGGTTTTTTACAAGAGTATATTGCGTGGTGCTAAAGTTTGGGCTTCTATTGATCCCATCACCCAGATAGTGAACATAGTACTCAATAGGAAGGTTTTCAGCCCTTCCCCACTTCCTCCCTCCCTCCCTCCCTTCTTTTTTTTGGAGTCCCCGGTGTCTATTGTTCCCATCCTCACATTCAAGTGAACCCAATATTTAGCTCCCACGTATCAATGACAACATGTGATATTTGGTTGCCTGTTTATCCATTGGTTAATTTAGGATAACTGCTTCCATCTGCATCTCATTACTACAAAGGACACGATTTTGTTCTTTTTTTTATGGCTGCACAGTATTCCATGGTGTATATCACCACATTTTTCTTCATCCAATCTACTGTTAATGGACAGCTATATTGATTTCATTTCTGCCATTGTGAATAGTGCTATGATAAACATACAAGTGCATGTCTTTTTGGAAGAATGATTGATTTCTCTTCGGGTATACACCCAGGAATGGGATTGCTGGGGTCAAATGGTAGTTCTAGTTTTGGTTCTTTGAGAGATCTTCAAACGGCTTTTCATAGTGGCTGAACTAATTGGCATCCTCACTAGCAGTGTATAAGTGTTCCTTTTTTTCTACAACCTCGCCAACATCTGTTATTCTTTTATTTCTTGTTATAGCCATTCTGACTGGTGTGAGATAGTATCTCCTTGTGCATTTCTCTGACGATTACTGATGTTGAGCATTTTTTGTGTTTGTTTGTTGCTTATATGTCTCCTTTTGAGAAGTGTCTGTTCATGTCCTTTGCCCACTTTTTAATAGAGTTGTTTTTTTCTTCTAGGTTCATTTAGATTCCTTATAAATTCTGGATATTAATACTTTGTTGGATGCATGATTTGCAAATATTTTCTCTTTCTGTAGGTTGTTTGTTTACTCTGCTGAGAGTTTCTTTTGCTGCAAAGCACTATCTTGACTTGCAAAACTCACAATGTCAGGTCAGAGAAGAGAGACAGTCTCTTGAAAGGCCCAGGCACACATAGACACATACACATATAATCAAACACTGCCTGGTGGCATCTCATTTCCCCAACACACATGCATATGTTACTGGCATCTCGGTTGGCGACAATAAAGCAGTCCTGAGGCCACAATTATTTGGCTTAAGCCATCTATCAAGAATTACCCATTTGGAGTAGATGTTGACAAAAAGATAAATGTCCAAGCCAAGTCTTCTGTCGACCCGCATGTTCTGACTTCTTTTAGAGATACAACTCTAGGGGAGCTAAAAGGCATATGTTTACTCTTGGCTTTAAATTCCCATATTATAATAGATGGTTATAGTGTAGCCATATGCCATTAAAACTAGGGAGAGATATTTAGGCTCAAGTTTTAATGTAATAAGGGAACTTGGTGAGATGGTGTGAGTGTCATAAGTAATTTCCCTGCAAGATTTAGACTTTGGCATGATTATTCTTAGTTCAACTACATACAACTGCACCCTTTGGGGCCTTGACCCAGTATTTGGAATAAATAGAGAAAGCAACTGGAATTCATTTTTAAGTCAGAGGTTCCCACGTTTTCTCAGCAAATGGTGTTCTTAGCATCTCTAATTTTTCCACTGCACTTCTAGACCAAAATAAATTACTAACAACTGCACTAAAATTAGTTTATGTCTAAACGACTTAATTATTACTCATATCTTTTTCTTTTCTTTTTTTTCTTTTTTTGAAACAGAGTCTCACTCTGTTGCCCAGGCTGGAGTGCAGTGGCGCAATCTCAGCTCACTGTAACCTCCACCTCCGTGGTTCAAGCAATTCCCCTGCCTCAGCCTCCCAAGTAGCTGGGACTACAGGCATGTGCCACTATATCCAGCTAATTTTTGTATTTTTAGTAAATATGGGGTTTCACCATGTTGGCCAGGATGGTCTCGATCTCTTGACCTTGTGATCTGCCCACCTCGGCCTCCCAAACAGCTGGGATTACAGGTGTGAATCACCGTGCCCGGCCTATTTCATTCTTAACCACAATTTCTGAGTGAGATGTGTGTGCCTGTTGAACATGACACAACTCCTAAAACTTAAGAATTGGATGGAACACCACACTGATTCTTGTGTAATACTTGCTTTTATTTCAATAACGTCTCAAAAGTCAGCTTGACAAAGAAAGTATGTAATGGAAAGGAATATAGCTCCATGCAATGATAAAACTGTGAACTCTCTTGAGCTAATAATTCATACAGTGTCCAACAGATGCCGCTGTATTCACAGCTCAAAAATACTCCATGTCACTGCAGAGCGTTTGTTTGGAACTGCTGCCTCAAATTTGTTGTGATATTTTGTTTTCTGCAGTTTGTTCAAGAACAATGGGACGATGAGAGGTGATATGAGTGAGGGAAGGGGACAACTGAAAGCAGTGAGAGACTCAAGCTGGATTTATGGTATTCTGCCACCACGTTACCCTACATTCTCACAGCCACCCTAATTGGAATCACTTTATGTTTGTGACAAAATTCTGGTGGGCCTTAGTACATTCCCATAGTCCATTCCTTCCCCAAATCTCTTAGCTATTTTATTTATTTATTTATTTTGAGACAGAGTCTCGCTCTGTCTCCCAGGCTGGAGTGCAATGGTGCAATCTCGGCTCGCTGCAACCTCCGCCTCCTAGGCTCAAGGGATTCTCCTGCCTCAGCCTCACGAGTAGTTGGGACTACAGGCACCTGCCATCATGCCCAGCTAATTTTTTTTTTGTCGTTTTAGTAGAGACGGTGTTTTGCCATGTTGGCCAGGCTGGTCTCGAACTCCTGACCTCAAATGATCCTGCCCACCTTGGCCTCCCAAAGTTCTGGGATTACAGGCATGAGCCACCAAACTCGACCCTGTTAGCTATCTTATACCTTTGCTTCTCTTCTCAAACTTTGAACACCTTCTACCCCACACTCAAAAGTGGATGACCTTCCTTCATATTTCACTGAGAAGGGACTTCACAGACTCTCTTCATCACATCCCCACCTACATATTTGCCTCTTTGCCTGTCAGCACAGATGAACAGAGCCATTTCAAGCTAATGCCTCCATTTGCATACACAATTTCATACTTTCTCATTGTCTTAGTTCACTAGGGCTGCTATAACAAGCTGCCTTAGACTGGGTAATTACTAAAGAACAAGAATTTATTTCTTACAGATCTGGAGGCTGGGAAGTCCAAGATCTAGGCACCAGCAGATTCAGTGTCTTGGAGGGCCTGTTCCTCACTAGCAGCTTCCTGCTGTGTGCTCACATGGTAGAAGGGTAAAAAGGGCCAAAAAGGCTCCCTCAAGCCATTTTATTTTTTAAGGGTACTAATCCCATTCAACCAGTCACCGTCTAAAGCCCCCATCACTTAATACTCTTGCACTGGGGATTAAATTTCAACATGAATTTTAGAGGGACACAAACATTCAAACCAGAGCACTCATGCACTCATGGAATCACTTCAACGTTTCTCCTCTCTCTCTGCTACATTAGCATTTTTCACCCTCTACCAGATCATTTTCAAGAGCATACATGCTGTTGTTTCCTGCCTCTAAAAAAATAAATAAATAAAACTAAAATAATCCATTAACCCTTCTTCCCCTGCCAAAGATGTCCCCATTTATTTTCTCCTCTTTGCCA